GGGGAGGGTCTGTGCCGGGCTCGGGCACCCCGCCTTCCCGTTCCTGTTCTAGACGTTTCCAGCGCCCCCACGCCGCCTCCCGCAGCCTCTTGCCGTGCCTCCCGCCCCCGGCTCTCCTCTGCCGCGCTCCGAGCAGCTTCGCTACTTTTCTGGAAGATGCTGTGGCCTTGAGCCTGGCACCTAAGCGGGAACCAAGGCGGGCGGCTGCCCGGTTCCCACTTGTTGCGCCGGCGCTCTGCCTTCCCGCTGCCCGACGCGGGAGGAGGGCAGCAGGCGGGCCTGGGGGTCGTCTCCGGGTGCGTTGCTAATGCAAGTATCGGGTCTTCAGGCTGGGGGGCTCTGGCACCTTGCGCCGTGTCTTCGCGTGGCTTCGCTCAGCTCTGCCGCCCAGTCCCCACGTCCCTCCAGCCCCACGATGTCCCCTTGCTTTCAGTGCGGCCTGGCTTCTTTCATGGACAGCGGGCTTCGCTGGCGGTCTCCGCGCTCCGCCGCCCTGGGACCCGTGGGCCTCGCCCGGGTCCCCTCTCCCTTCCCCTCCCGATTCTTGGTACAAAACACGTTCAACCCTGTCCCCTTTAACACCGACGGCCCCTCCTGCCCACCGGCTCCAAGTGCAAACCGGGATCTGCCTTCGCCTGTCCGTCCTCACCTCCAGTTCACACTCCAGCCCCTGGCACCGGGCCCGGTCTCCTCACTGAAAATACTCTCACCGGGGTTAGCGACCTCCAGGGGTCGAACTTCCGTGACGTGTGGCCTTTACCTTTGACTCAGTGGAGCTGGCTCTGACCCTCCCGGAGACCCCAGGTCCTCTGACTTTGATCACAAGGCCCTCTGAATTTCCTGCTCACCCTTCACCCAGAGGAGGGGCCTCAGACGCAGCACAGCTTTTGTCCCCTTAGGCTCCCCCAGGGAGCTGACTGCACCTTCACCCGCAGCACACCCAGCTGACTAGTCCGACCGCGGCAGGCCTCCAGGCCGGCCCACCCGACTGTCCATCGCTGTCCCCAGGCACACCTCCCAGGATCTCCAGCTCAACGGCCAAGTCCTGAGCTCAGCCCCATGCCCACCCCCATGCCCACCCCCACACTCCAATCTGCTCCTTTCTCTGGGAATAAGGCCCCTGGTTTTCCAAACCAGAATGTGGGGCGCATTCCTGACTCCTTTCCTTCTCGCAGACCCAGACAGTTACCCTGTTCCTTTGGGTCTGTTTCCTGAACATCGTTCCTGTTCTTTCCTCCCCATCTGCCATTTCACAGTCACTCACCCAACTTGGATGTGGGCAGGGGCCTCCTGCTCACTTATTCTCGTGCACTGCACTGGTGCCACACTGACCACACAAATCTGGCCACGTCACTGCCTCCACCACCTCCAAGCCCCAGCTGCCATCCATGAGTCAGTGGAAGCTCCGCAGCTTCAGACCCTGTGTCTTTCCTCTTCCCAGGGCTCCCCCAGCCCCCTTCTGACCACATGCACTCCCTGAACACCCGAGTCCATTGCTTGGGTGCCCAGTTGACTCTGTCTGGGAGATGTGCGGCCCCTTCTCCACTTGGCCAACTCCCCATTGCCCTTCCAGCCTCGCAGCTGCCTCCACAGGGTCAGGCCCCCTTCTCTGTGCTCCCTTGTCTCACCAGCACCTTACGTCGTAATGGTTTGTTTACTGCTCTTTCAAAATGCCACGGGACTCCGGGTTCGGTGAGGGCCAGGGCTGAGTCCCCACCGCACCTGTGCCTAGTTCAGTGCCTGGCCCAGGGGAGATGCCTCGTGAATCTTTAAGGCGTGGATGAATGAGTTCATGAGAGCCAAATCTGACTCCTCCTGCAGTGCCAGTTCTCGTGAAAGGAATTTCACCATCAGATTTTAAATTCATAAACTACTTGTCCAGTTTAGTACTATATCAAAATAAGAATACTCTTTAAAGGGAACCCATAACCTTAAAAATATAGCAAAACGTTTTCACTTGTTCAAATTTAGGAGCTAGGGTTAAAACAACTTTTTATATGTGTAATTTTATAGAGGTTAGATAAACAGATATGACAGAAATGCCATAATATACATGGGAAGTTAATATATCAATAACATAGTAATAATCCTTTGGGTTTGCACTCTAAAATCGTTTCTACGAGTTATTCAGTGATTGTTGGCGCTGGACTAAATCCTTTCCATGGAACAATTTATTAGTATTTGCAATAACCCTAAAAGGAATGGTTGTGACCATTATTCTGTAGAACATTCGAGGGTAAGAGGTGTGTCTGGCAGCCTCGCTGCAGCGCCTGCACTACACGTCTTGCAGTGTGTTCCCCAGAACACTGCTAACCAGTCTAAAATGTAAGGGCGACAGGTTCATACACGATGCAACACTTCTGATGAAGAATGCAAAGCCATCTTACAAAGTCTTGTTATCAGGTAGGAGTTACAAGGCAACTTAAAAAAAAAAAACCAAAACACCTAGTCACCTGGCCTCTTCCTTGGACTGGGGAAACAGATCCTCATTCGAGTTTTGAACCCTGGGATCAGAATCCAGAGCCCCCGCTGGTTCACCTGGGGCGCGGGAGCGGCGCTGCTGGGGAGCTCAGGGAGCAGCCTGGAGCCGGCAGGCATCGGTCGCTAGGCAACGGCAGCGCAGCATCAGCACCCGCGCGCAGCAGCGCACGCCCACCAGCGGAGATGAAGGCCGCTGTGCAGCGAGGCGCCGGCATGGGGGGCGGCCTGGTGGGGAGATGCTGTCGGGGGGGAGGCCCTGGGTGGCCAGGAGGACTGGGAACGCGCGGAGCTTGGGGCCAAAGGGCAAAAGTAAAACAAAGTGATGTTTTCCTGCCTCTAGTTGACGTTAGGACAGGGTATCTCGGAAGTCTTACTGCATTTGAGAGTTTAGTTACTGAAACTCCTCCTATACTTAGTTTTGTGAATTCTGGGTGATTTTGACATTTATTTTTGTTTTGGTCGCTCTAACTGACCTTGGCAAATGTCGAAGAGATGGCACCTGTTCCCTGGTTAGCTGCACACACGTCCCCGACAGCGACGAGAGCAAAATTTGCCTCCCGTCCTAAGGAGGCTCCACACAGAAATCTGAGTAACAACAAGATGAAAACACCCAAAGACACTGTTTCATGCCACAAAAGGCCTGGATCCAGGATGTGCTGAGGTAGTCTGAAGTGACCAGAGTGCTGTGTATCACAAAGGAGCCGATCGACTAAATTGAATAAAAAAAAATCAGTATTTTAAAAGTTAACAGCTGGTCTATCATGTTACACTTCCGAGGTTACTAAAGGTTAAAACGGCACTCTAAGACATCCTGAGCAGGTACGTGGAAAGATTTAAAAGAGGAGAAACGAAGTGTGGGCGAGGGAACAGGCACCGAGGGTGCCGGACCCTGAAAGCTGCAGCGCATTTTGCAAACAAGCCGCGGGGCACGTGCCACGTTCGCCTTTGTGCCCCTCGACACCTGGCAGCTGTTGTCCCTCTGTCCTTTCTCAGTGTCTTGGAAGTAGTCCGTGTGGGTTATTTTCATTCTCAGCAGCGGAGCTCGCTCCCCGGCCTCGTCACAGCGCACTTAAAAAACATCTCGCGGTCTAAACAGCGAGGACTGCGGTGCAGCACAGGAACTCGACTCCGTGTCTTGTAATGAGTTGCAATGGAAAAGAATCAGAAAATGTACGTCCACATGTATACATGTATGTACATGTATAACTGAATCGCTTCGCTGTACACCTGAAACGAACATTGTAAACCAACTACACTTCCATTAAAATAAAAAAAATTCTTGGGGCCAGTTGCTTACATTATTTATCAGAAAAAGAGGAAAACATTTTCAGCGTTTCCTTTCTGCACACCTTCATCGTGACCGTGGTGGAAGAGAGCGAGCCTTCTCTCAGGTGGCTGCAGGGTACTTGTTTTGATGCTTAGAAGTCAGCTGACTTCAATTCCTTGTTTACAAACATGCAGTTATAGTTTCTTACCAGCAGGCGGCAACGTGGAGCCGGGACAAAAGGAGGCTCCAAGGACGCTGGAAACCAGGCGTTCTCATCGTTTATTCACCGTAAAGCAATTTTTTGAATCCTACACACACACAGCCTTGAGATTACAAGGATGAATTCAACCTTGTCCCGGATCTCC